GCCCAGGTTGGTAAGCTGGGTCGAGGCATCTCAGAGTTGGGCTACAGTGCTTGGGGGGGGGTGAATATATAAAATATGCTAGAATATACCCATGGCCTGCTGTATAGTCGTTAAGGCTGCTATATTATAGGCTTTGGCGCTGAGGGTGCAGGGTTGAGGGATTCAACGTCTTGGGCTGTAGTAGCCCCCGCTATCCTGAAACCCTACAGTGCCCTACAGCCCATCATCACTCGAGCAAGCCCTGCCGCTTGAACCTCAAACCCGTACCTAAACCCCCAAAAGTAGGTCAAATAATGGCCCGAGACCTGCAACAGGCTATTATTTTACATACTTTTGGGGTCTAGGTAGCAAGCTTTGCAAAGGCTTTCAATGCCTGCGGCCCAAAGCCGTTAGACCCTTAAGCCTTGAGCCCGAAACCCTGACGCCCTGTAACTGTACCCGACCCGCACCCTCGAACCCTGAAACCCTAAACCCTTAACCCTAAACCCTAAACCCTAAACTCTAAAACCCTAAACCCTAAAACCCGAAACCCTGAAACCCCTCAATCCCGGAACCCTGAACCCTAAACCCTAAACCCTAAACCCTAAACCCTAAACCGTGGAACCCTGAACATCTGCTTGAGCTCCGAGGCTCACCTTCAAATCCCAAGCTTATGAAGCGCCGAAAAAGCCTTACGGAAACGCTTGCGCTAAACCCCAAACACAGTTTTGAAGAGTCCTGGAGAGCCCTTTCCGAAGCCCTTTTATAGAGCCTTGTAGAGCCCTTCAACCCCTTTCTAGACCTCCGCCTGCTTCAGGAAAGCGTGGGGCAAGCCAAGAGCGATTGTGGCTGCGGCTTCCCCGAAGATAGTGCCTGCCTCTTGCCTTCATTGCGCAGGAGGTAGGGTTCAATTAGCGGAGTTGTTTAGGGAATTCAATGTTTACGGGGTTTCGGGCCTGCTTGGTGTTGAGGGTCTAAAAATGGTTTAGGGCTGGTTATTTGGGGCTTTTGGTTTAGGAGATCTGACGGGGTGTAGCGTTGAGGGATTCAGAGTCTTGGTTTTGGGAATAGGGGGCTTTGAGGATTTTGGTCCGGAGTGTAAGTTCGAGGGGTTTAAGGTTTGTGGGTTTCTTGGAAAAAGCTGGTGGGTTTTATGGAGCCGTTCAGGGTTTGGGGAGCAGGGTTTTGGGTTCGGGGTATCGGTGCTGCAGTATTCGGAGTCACACAGCAGTGCACCATCTTGCATGCCTCTCGGACACCGAGCATCTTCAATACTGCGCTGAAAGTCGTTGTTCTCTCCAAAGAGGCGGCGGGTCCAGGGGGGGTCTTGTTAGAGGTACACCGTTGGCCGCTCAGAATCTTATATCTACTTGTAGGGCCTCTTCCCCCAAACCCTGAAAGAGTCAGCCCATAAGAAAGACACTCATCCCTAGAACCTCAAACGCCCCCAGACACTCTAAGTCTTTTAATCCCTATGTGAAAACCCTAATCCCTGTAACCGTAGTACGGTCCCCCAATCCCAAACTCCCGAAGCGACAGCCCTCATTCCTTTCAGAATCCCCAGGCAACTCCTACAGCCTCAACTGGTATGCGCACGTGCAAGAGCAACTGAAGGGCCGAAAGGACATGGGTAGTTCTCTAAATTAGGATCCCTTTTGTGGCTTTCTTGAAGCGATCAAGAATGCCTTTCTAGGGTGTTTATTATGGGGTCCCTTGTTAGGGTCTTTTCGAAAAAGGGTGCCGTACTATTTTGGGGACCTAAAAAGGGACCCTAATGTGGAGAACTACCCACATCTTAAAGCAACAAGCAGTGCTAAGCAAAAGGGTTTCGGATTTTGGGGTCGCTTCTGCAGTATGACGTCTTGATGTTTGGGCTTAGGGACAGGAGGTTCTAGTATTGACCGTCTTTGGAGTTTCGGGTTTTGACATCATGTGGTCTGGACATCTCTTGTTGACGAGGGTCGGAGTGAAGCGTTCTGCGGCTTCAGGAATGGTGCAAGGCTGTAGGATTTGGGACGCCACCCGTCAACATACTAA